TGTTGTTGTTGTTGTTGTTGATAAAGGGGTCGTGGGTGTCCAAGCTATGTGGTGCTCGCTGTTTAAAACAGCAGCGGGCTGATAAGCAGAGCGACAGGATCCTTAAAGTCAGCAGAGAGCAGATAATCAGGAAGCTTTAACCTCCGTCTCCCACTCAGCTCACAGAGTGAATGGACTCAGTCTGTCCGTCTCAATGGAGCTCACACGCTGTCGCATTTCTTACATTTCACCTCCTTCTCATGGTAATTCACACTGTTCTCAGATCAGTTCAGTAGAACCTCTGCGGCTCATTCACGTCGGTTCTTAACAGGAACAGAGAACAACAACAACAACGTTGATTACAGTTCTAGAAACTGATTGAGAGTCAGTTTGATCCCTTACAGTCTCTGTGGTTCTAACTGGTTATACTTTTGCAATAGTTTTTAGAAGGTTCTAGAGGTCTTTTAGGTGGTTCTAGTCATGCTGTAGGTTCCAGTGGTCAGTGATGAGGTTCTTAAGATCTTCAGGTGGCTTTACTGTTTCTTTAGCAGGGTGTAGAAGTCATTGTGTTGGTTGTAGAACTCTTTCAAAGCAGTTAAGATGTTCAGGAACTTCTACAGTCCTGTAGGCAGTTCTAGTCGTCATCAACAAGGTTCTACGGGTCTTTTAGGTGGTTCTAGTCATGCTGTAGCTTCTAATGGTCACTTAGGTGGTTCTATTGTTTCTTTAAAAGGTTCTAGTGGTCACTGATGAGGTCCTCCAGGTTGTTTTTGTGGTTCTAGTCATCATTGTGAAGAAGATTCCTGGTTGCAGGGGCTCTTTGGGTGGTTCTTTTGTTCCTGTAGGAGGTCGAATTGGTCATTGAGAAGGTTCTAGAAATTATTTAGGATGGTTTCTGATCTCTTTAGGAGATTCTAATGGTTCTTAAGATCTTCAAGTGGTTGTATTGTTTCTCTAGGGGGTTCTAGTGGTCTTCCAGTGGGTTCTATAAGTCTTCCTGTTGGTTGAAGAACTCGTTTATATTAGTGAAGATGTTCTAGAGGTTCTTTAGGTGGTCCTGGTGGTCATTGAAAAGGTTTTCCAGATTGCAGGTTGCTTTAAATGTTCCCTCGACACTTTGGAAACCTTGAGTTTATAAATGACGTAACAACAGTCTTTATTCTGTGTTAAACATTAGCAGCTTCCAGCAGCTTATCACTGTGTGTCCTGTGTGAAGGCCGAACGCCAGAATATTTGTGATGGCAAACGTTACCTGAACAGGTGCAGTCAGTCCGGTGTTCGTTCACTCATTAACCGGTTCTGCTTTAAACAGACAGCAGCTGCAGTGTTTCACCTCTTTAACACTTTAACGTTTAGAACAAATATCACAGGAACACGGAAGTTTCTGTTCCTGGAAACCAAGAAAGACTCAGAAATACCTCTATATATAAATAAAACAGATACAGATGGATGAAGCAGGAATATATGACCACTGTTTGTATTTTTAACTGTGTGTGACGGCAGATAATGTGAAGTGAGAGGCGTCTCACATCGCTGCCTTCAATGAGTTCAGCTCCTCTGAAGACACACAGTCAGTGTTCATTGAGTGAAAGAGAGACAACAGCTTCATTCATCCAACGTGAACACAGAGCGACTTCATGACGCTGCTCATGTTTTATCAACCTGCTGACGACAAACTCAACTCCATCACTTTCTGTTCGTGAGACATAATGAGGAACATAACATAAACACAAAAACTCTATTTAGCTTGTAAATGTTGCTAAATGTCAATGGCTAAGTTTGAAAATAAGTTAATTATTATAATATAATAAGATTTCATCATTTTTAAATCATTTTAAAATTATAATCATAGTTTAAATGTTTACAGCATGTTAGCTTAAACATAAATGTAGATATTTAAAGGTCACATCAAAGTTTTTAAAAATGATTTAAAACTTTAAATCTTTTAAATATTTGAGGTTAATATTTACTAAAAAGTAAAGTAATGTAAACAGGTGGCAGTACGCTACGCTACATATTGCGTTATAACCTAACCCGTTCTTTTCTATAAATTTTGTTCCAATACTTAATTATTTTATTTTATTGGCTTATTTAAAAAATGTTCATGAATTTATTTTATTGCTGCTTAAATAATGTTCCTTTTGTTTTAATTTCTGTACGTTGCTTTTTAATTTTTAGTTGGTTTATCTTAAGTATTAGCATGTTAGCATAAGCACAGGCAACTTAGCATGTAGGCTAACATTTAGCAAATCCAGATTTAAAAAGTGAAACTTGCATAATTTGCCTGCAGTTAGCATGTTAGCATATTAGCAGGTTAAGACCCCTGGATATTAAAATGATAGTATGTCAGTATAAGTTAGCATCCAATAATTGTTACTGCATTAAATGTGCTTTAAACATACATCCTATCATGCTAAATGCTACATGCTAAATTTCACATTGTTCAACATTAAAGACTTGAAGGAAAGACAGTGTCTGTAGTCTGGTTTCCATCCAAATGTAAAGAAGTTTAACAAAATGTGTGAAGAGTTAATTGGTTGATGAAGATAAACCTTGGGTGGAGTTTATTCTCCACTCGCTGCCACAACGAGATGACGAGGTCATTTAAAGAGCTCCAGTCGAAGGTCAAACGATAGAAATCAGACACTTCTGTGAGTTGTGTGTATTAATGTGAGGACGGTTACTTCGTTAAAGTCAAATAACAACTAACGGAGTCTGTTTCCGTCGATGCACCAGCCGAGTGAAAAGAGTCTTTGATAACAAACATGACTCATCGCTTCCGCTTCTGTCAACAGTCAGTTAAACGATGACTCAATCAGATCGAGATAAAGACAATTTTCACATTAGATTGAACTCGTTAATGAGGCCGAACAGACGGGCGGCTGAGGGGTCTGTGGGTTCAGCCGTTTACCTGTCTGTCTGTGTGCCTGTCTGTCTGTAGTGCTGGCCAAGCTGATCTGGGACCTGCAGTCCTTCCTGTCTGTTCTGGACTCAGAGAACTTGAGTTACATCGCTCAGGCTCAGAAGAAATCCATCTCAGAGCTGCTGTCCAAACTGCAAACAAACGACGCTCCTGGTAATGATACTACTGATACTATTAATGATACTGATATTACTATAACTAATGATAATAATATTAATGATACAGAGAATATATTAAAGTACAGGGCCACTGAACAAGCTGCTGTACAACCTCAACCAGCAGCCTGTGGATCTGTGAACTGAATAGTAACATGTTTACTGACACTGATGGATGTCTGTTGTGTTTCCAGTGGAAGATGCTGAGTACATGATCATGAGCTGTCCGTCACTGTCTCCTAGCAACGAGCAGATAGACTCACCTGGGACAGGTAACACTTAAATCACAGGAACCTGTCCAACACTCTGGAGGTTTTCTTCTATTTCCTGAGCTCTCAGTTTTGAATTGAAAACAACACATTTAAGATTATTTTGGACAATATTCTACATAAGATACACAATCATGTCAATCTGAAAATAAAGTTTATAAAATGTTTATAATATGTGTTTTCAGTCTGAAATCAGATTTGTTTGTGTGTCCAGAAGGTGTCCGGTCCTCTGAGCTGGTCTTAAAGCGGGACTCATTGGTGTGGCTGAGGAACGGGGTGAGTCAACACACACATTTCTCACATTTCACATCTGTCATAGTGGAAGAAATACTCAGATATTTAACTTAAAGTCCTGCATTTAAACTTTAGGAAAAGAACCTAACTATTGGCCTCACATTATACTCAAAGTACCAAAAGAAAAGCTCATATTTACTTACCACCAGTTTATCCTGATATCTTATTTTATTTGTTGATACTATTTATATTATTAATCTGAATCTGTAAAGTAACATGAAATAAATAATAAGTAAATAAGTAAAAAGTTTAATATTTGCCTCTGAATTGTGGTAGAGTGGAAAGATGTATAATATAGCATATTAAAACTAATTAATAAATAAAAAACCTGAAAACGACTTATATCCTATACTCCAAACTTAACTTAACTTAAAAAACAACCCAACTTCCTCGACTGGTGGTTGTTTTATCAAACAGGTCTAAAATGAACTTTGATGTTTTCTTTAAATAAAGGTGAATAAGTTTGAGATTATTATGTTTGGGAACCTGCTGGAAATGAGTGATTTTACTTCAACATGTTAAGAATCAGATACACACAAATTCTGCTCTAAAAGTTACACAGGTTCCTTCACTATCACCTTTGGTTGCCGAGGAAACACAGGAGCAGTGGTTGAATGTAACTAAGTACATTTACTCGAGTATTGTACCCTAAAGCCTTTCCTTTTCTTCATTTTTTTCCATGTAAAAACATTTAATGATTATGTAGAGTGGATCCTGGGAGTCTACATAGATAGAGTAGATATGAAGAGATAGAATAGATAAGACAGTAGTAAGATAAGATAGATAGATAATAGATAGATAGGATAGATAGATTAGATAGATAGAATAGATAGATAGTAGATAGATAGGATAGATAGATAGATAGATAGATAGATAGATAAAAACCCTGGACCGTTAAGAACAGAATCAAAAATAAACGGAAGCATACTGGATACAGCGTCCTGCTCGCCGCCGGCGCGGATGTATAAACGGGGGGGTGGGACGGTAGAAAATAATTGAATATAAGCTCCAACTCACCAACTCCAACAAGTTAAATCTAATGAGATTCATATATAACAGTTTAAACTTCAACACGGCTGGCTGGATCAGGAAGCCATCCTTCAATGTGATCCTCGAGATCTGGTTGTGAAATGTAAAGATTTGAACTCTTCCTGACTCCGATTCTCGCTCACTGTAGTTCTTTACATCCGGCTGGTTAAAGAAAAGTGGTCGGGAAAGAAAAAAGAGCTTTTTTTTTTAGATAACAGGAGGAGGAGGTTTGTGATGTGGGTCAGTAATGACAGACTGAGTCCTCCTGAGGTTTGGGAGGAGACGGCCGGGTTACTGTGCGTGTGTGTGTGTGGTGTGTGTGTGGTGCTGTGTGCTGTGTGTTAGAGGGAGTGACAGGATGCTCAGTGTTTACATATGAGGCCATCTCTCCTCTATCTGTCGTCCTATTGGCTGAGAGCTCTGGCAGAGGGAGGAAGTGGTCATGATGGCGGCCGATTGGCATCTGGTCTACGTGATGGATGAACCAACGTGTGTGTGTGGTGTGTGTGTTGTGTTAGAGGGAGTGACAGGATGCTCAGTGTTTACATATGAGGCCATCTCTCCTCTATCTGTCGTCCTATTGGCTGAGAGCTCTGGCAGAGGAGGAAGTGGTCATTGATGCGGCCGATTAGCATCTGGTCTACGTGATGGAGTGAACCAAC